ACTTTAACTTAAACTCACGCTATAATTCAAAACGATTCACGCCCTTTACTCATGGTCACTACGGCGCTTGACTCAACTGTCCGTCTTTGTCTATCTGCAATTCTATTCCGATGGATTATTTCGCTTTATCTGGCGCACTTATATACAAGAATAGAGGGCGCCTAGCAAATACTGGATTATTCGCGATGTTCCCCGATCTTTCTAGAACTCATTACGTATTACCAGCGTCACGTGACTTCCGCTGTCGTAACAGTATATACCAAAAGAAATAGCAACACTTACTATTTTGTTACAGCATCCTCACAACTTCTTTAGTTTTCCGTTATATCATTTTGATTTGTGTAAACGAATATAAAACACAATATCTTTCACTAATCTATCCTTATATACAGACTTTTTCAACTGACGATAGCTAACTACAGATATCATAATGGGAAGTCGAGGGTCAATTCCAGAAATATTGAGTCGTACTGAAACTGAAAGATCAGACGTGTGGTCTTCTGACATACACGAGTCACATGTATCTGCCAGGAATACTGGACCATGATCCAAGCAGACATTTGTGTGTAATTTTATATTTAAAATTTGTTTTATACATATTGCACTTTCGGATATAGTTTATTTTAGAAATGTTAAGCACGTTTTCAATTGAATATGTACGAAATGATTGGACAAATGTTTCGTATAATACAAATGAGATTATTTGTTTTATATAGGACAAAAATCTGCCCTTTCGTATTATTTCACAATCATAGTAGTGTCATTATTCAAATCTATGATATAAATATTACTGTTCACATATATTACTAAAATTGTTCAGTTGATTAGTTACTGCTTTTGATTTTAGGGTCCTACATACAGATATTTTGTCTGTATTTATATAATATGTCCATATTGTTCACAGGCTCGTGTGTTTGTTCGTTCGCACTTATCCAGAGTGTATCTACAAATGGACAACATAATTTTTAAAAATCGACTATCAGAAGCCTCATACTACAATCCTGTATATTATAGTAAGACAGCAACTGTGATTTTGCAAAACATGTAAAGATA